TAATTTAACATTAATAAATAAACTATTATTCCTCGTATCCGTATTTAAAATTTTAAATTTAAAAATACAGATTTTTATTAATAAAATATAATATTCCATGTTCTTTGTTAGATTAAAATAGCTATAATATAATATATAATAAATTATACGACATTGTTAATAATAATTATACAAAAAAAAAAATCTAACATATAATATATTGGTAAATTAATTAATAATACTTTATATTCAACTTACCATTTACCATTAAAATCTAATAATTTTTTAATATTAATTTTAAAAAAATATATTTTCCAACGTGGCAAGTGGGACCCACACAATTTTAAATAGGATCATATTGCATGTAAATTATTGCTTAAATTACCCGTTTAATATATGAATTTTTTATTTTAGGTAATTTAATCTAAATTAATTAAGTATGATAATCATAATGTAGCCACCGTCTAATAGTAATTTCGTATAAGAATTAAAACAATCGATTTTGAAAAAGATGAATATATATCGATCAGTGTTGAACTATGTATGTGTTAGTATTAACGGTTGAAAATTCAACCAATAATTTTAATTTATCTCTCTTCGGTGTATTTAATGATATAGAATCGTTAGCCTCGTGATCGGAACGTTTCAAATTATTTCAAGAAAGAATGGGTGAGTAGTTCAATAATGGTGGGGCGAACGAGGACAGTAGGGTCATTTGCATTCGGAGGTTTGTCTCCTCCTCCCTCTCCTCCCCCCTATTCCTAAACAGTATTCTGCAAAATCCTTTTTTCATTATCCCAAACTGCCCTCCCAAGTTTCCAAATTTACCATTCTACCACTGCCCTTATTCCCTCTTATTCACTCAAAAGCCCCTCTTTCAATCTTTCTTTCACATCATACCCCTCATATTTGCCTTATTTGCATTTGACCCCCTACCCGATTCGTTCACAATCATTTCTCGTGATCGAAACATTTTTCTAATTATATCACAAACTTGTTCCTTAAACTAATTTTTTAGACACGGTTGAAAATTTAAAATGTCTAACGACTCGAATATTGGGATGGCTATTCGCTTGATCCACTGACTTCTCCGTGGTTTTATAATGAATACAGAAGTACACATTACTTAGGGGCTACCCCACTGTTGAACCTTCTCTCAGTCTCCGAGACTCGCAACATAAGTACAGCAAAACACAACTTGCTCAATGATGGTAGATTATCCCTCGATGGACACAACTTCGTCCACTCTTTAGACTCGACCCATGACACCCTAGACAAACCCAAGGAACGGTTTTTTCTTTTTTTGTGAGGAATATTGTTTTGAGGGAAGGAAAACGTGGTTGACAAACAACTTCGAGAAGGCGACTGATGCACGTGGGAGAAGTCGTTCCTATCCGAAGCAGTGGTAGCTCGATTCGGCTTGATTGGGAAGAAATTTACATAAAGAAAAAATTCATTTTTATTTTAAAATTTGGTTATATATATATATATATATATATATATATATATATATATATATTAAAAATAGAAATAAAGTTAAATTATTAATAGAAATAAATTAATTAAAAAAAATACTCCCCTTGCTTTTATTTCTTGAAACCTTTGACCCAAAAAAAAGAGAGAATTTTACATATGGGGATTGAGATATGACAGCTCTCTGTTTCTGGCCGGCGATGGCCGTAGTCCTCCACCACCACCGCCGCCGCCGTCTTCCTCGCCCAACCCTTCTTCTTCTCGCCGCGCTCCTCCCCCTCCTCCTCGCCTCCGCCATTGCCGCCCGCCCCACCCCAATCGGTAAGTCCCTAAACTCAATTCCTCTAATTAACCCATTTCTGGGTTTTACAAAAACAGAGGAAACAGAGTTTCCAGCTATGACACGGCGGAGACTCCGCGGGCTGGGGTCGTCCCCACCGATTTGTAGATCCAAGTGCGGCAGTTGCTCGCCGTGCACGGCGGTGCACATCCCAATTCAGCCGGGACTGAGTTTGCCGTCGGAGTATTACCCAGAAGCGTGGCGGTGCAAATGCGGCAACTCCCTTTATTTGCCATGAAATTTTAGCGAAGCTCTGTAACAAAAACACCGTACTTTCTTCTTCCTTCCATTATTTTTGCCACTCGAAGTCACTTCAATGGAGATTTTAATATTTTTATTTAATTATTTATTTATAATGTCCGGTAAGTATCATCGGAACTCCAAATCCGCCACTCATTTTTGTTTCACTGCATTGGGAAAGAAAGTTAAGATCTTTAGAAATACAATAATTTCTTTTTTTATTGCTCATTATTTTATATTTTTCCCTTACATTTTATATCCATTATAATAATCTCAATTTTCCCACCAATTTCTTTACCCTTTCACAAAATAATAATTAGTATTATACCTAAATATTAAATAATATTTCCTCTATTTTATATCAAAATATTTAAAATTTTAAAAATAAAATTATTCTGAAATTCATCTAAATTAAAATTAAAATTAAAAGCGTAATTTATATAATTTAAAATAAAAAAAAAACTCGAATTTAAAAAGTTTATATTATAAAATTGGTGCATTAATAATATATTTTCATAAAAAAGTGAGAATATTTTTGTTAGTTATTAATAGGAAAATACTATAAGAATGGGTGATTGCATGTGAAGGGGGGGAATGTTATTAGGGTTAGCACATTCCTATAATTAGGGTAGTGAGAGTTTAATGCACAAAAGGAGCGAAAGAGGGAAAGGAAGTCGATGAAGGGGTTGGTGAGCGTTTGGGGGAGAACGGGAATATGAGATCTCATATTAGTTGGAGAAGGGAACGAAACAACACTCCCAAGTAGACGTGTTAACAAATCGGGAGGTTAATGGTTATATCTAGCTGGCCAAAGCAGATAATATCTGCTAGCTGTGGGCTTGGGTTGTTGCGAATGGTATCAGAGTCAGACACTGGGCAGTGTGCTAACGATGATGTTAGGCCCCCAAGAGGGGTGGATTGTTAGATTTCACATTGGTTAGAGATGAGAACGAAACATTTCTTACAAAAATGTGAAAACTTCTCCTTAGTAGATGCAACTGCAATATGTAATAGGTCAAAGCGGCTGTTAGAGTGGGAGTGATAGATTCAAACTTCTGACATTTTTATCAAGAGCATATGTCTGAACTCCGAGAAAATTTTCTTTATTACATTAGCATAGATTATGCTCCAATTTATTATAGATCACGTCAACATCATTTAAGAATAATGTTGGGTTTGGTCAATCCATGTCGTGATTTCCTGCGTCAAAAAATGGTATTTCTAAGTTAGGAGAATATTTCAGTCCAAAACGCTTGAGACAAAGATGGACGATTTTGTTTAAGATTCTCTGATAGAGTTTTTCTCACTATAGTTTTCGAAACTGTTCACCGAATAATGAACATTGAAATCACTATTTACAAATACCTTCATACTTTAAAAAAAATTAATTAGAAATTATTCGAGTAAATAATTTCCAAACAGGATAATCTCGTAATTGAACTATCGGTAGAGAAAAGAAAGAACGAACTAAAGTGAACGCAAACGCAAAAAGAAATTGATATCGACACCAACTCTTTCGAACTTTATGGATACAAAATCGAGCCAATAATTAAAAAATAATAATATCATTAATGGAAAGGAAGATAAATTTATTGGAGGAAGGAAAAGTCATATTTAACCCCAAAAAAAAACGAAAAGAAAAAAGAAAAAAAAGAAAAAAAGAAAAATGTGTGAGCAGTGAAATAGAAATTATTACATATAGTAAGATGCTAAAAGGGGAAAGTGTGCATAAATAAAAAGAAAGTGCTAATTATTCCAGAAATACCCTTGTTGAAATATTTAAATTACTTGAATTTTCAAAAATAACGATCCAATTTTACGGCCCTCGTGCATGTGCCAGTTGTGGGCGCACTCACGTGGGGCCATTCTCACTGCTGTCACCCACGTGGGGCCATGCATTTTACGAACCATTTTTTCGCCAAAAATTAAAAAAATACAAAAAGGAAAAGGCGTAATCAAATTTATTAAATTAGGAAGGATTTTTATAGAATATTTCCAAAATTAAGAAACCCAATTCGTGTAAATTAATTTTACCCTCTTATTGTTGTAATTAAATTAAGGTTTAATAACATAAAAATAACATTTTAGTCCTAAACTTTCACTTTTACCCATTTTTGTATAACAATTTAATCAACCTAATTTCGAATATATAATAAATTAATTCTATCTAGAACAATTTCATCAAAATTATCGATTAAATATTTAAACAATATAAACAATTAAATCCTTAATAATTTTTTTTTATTAAATCTTGATACTCTTCACCACACCAACTAAATTATAAACTTTTAAAATTTTTTAATAATATTCTTAAAACTTTTAAGACTTCATCTTTTTTTATATGGAAATAATTAATATTATAATTAAAAAATATCGTTGAACATTCAAAGGTTTCAAAAATACCCTCTAGATTTAAAAAAAAATGTTTCAAAAATATCCTTTAGCTTCGAAAAAATGTTTTAAAAATACTCTTAAGCTTTCAAGTTTTTCACTAATACCTTTTTTAAAATTTTCAAATATATATATATATTAAAAAAAAAATACCCTTACCGTTATTTTTAAAAATAATCTAAGAGGTGGGCATCAGAAAAGACCATTTTCAGAAAATAGTATGGATGTTACTTTAAAAAAAGATATAATATTCATATGCTGGTCGTCCACATTGTTATAGTTGCAGGTCCACCTCAACATTTTTTGAAGTGATGGGTCCGCCATGGGCAATGATGAAAAGGTAAGAGATTGATTAGGGAAAGGGGGCAAAAAGTATGTAAGGGTCGAGGAGGGGGATATTGGGGGAATGCTTGTTTAATAACAGTAAACAAGGTGAGTTTTGGGTTGGTTTAGAGTCTTTAGCCTTGAGATTAAAGAAACAAAGGCGACATTGGGAAAGGGAGGAGGAAAAAGGAAGAACAAGACATTCAAAGAGAGGCCCCACTTGTTCTTTTAGGGATAAAAAAAGAGGGAATTTGAATACAAAAAGAAAACAGACAGGTTGACAAGGAAGATGTGAAAGGTGTGGGGCCATTTGCCCCATTCCCCTCACCATCTCCCCCCTTTGGTTTTGGTTCTCGAAGTTGAGAGGAAAAAGGGTTTATTTTGGTGAAGTGATGGTTGATTTGATGGAGAGGTTTGGAAGTGGGTGTTGCAGGCTTTTGATGGTGCAGTCAAGACCAAGGACCATGACTCTCCATCCCTATGTCTACGAATTCTCCACCCTTTCCTTCCTGTACCCTCTCTCTCTTCCCCCACATTGCCAAGCACAATTTTCAGACACTTTCATGGGGTACAATTTTCACACACTTTCATGGGGTGTTGTGATTTCTGAAAGGAAGTTCTTCAACAAGAGATACTTCTCTTGCATTTAATAAATCTTTAGAGTTTGATATGACTTCATAATCTTCAGAACTCGGTTGGAGAGGAGGAACGAAACATTGTTTGTAAGGATGTAGAAATCTCTCCATAATAGGCGCGTTTTTAAACTTCAAGGGTAAGCCCATAAAGGAAAACTCCAAAGAGGACAATATCTGCTAGCGGAGGACTTGAACTAGCCAGGCACCAAGCGGTGTACCAACGGGGACGCTGGGCCCCCAAGGGAGGTGGATTGTGAGATTCTCTCCATGGTAGACGCGTTCTAAAATCTTGAGGAAAAGTCCATAATGAAAATTCTAAAGAGGACAATATATACCTAGCGGTGGACTTGGGCTAGCCAGACATTGAGCGGTGTGCCAGCGAGAACGCTGGGCCCCCAAGGGAGTGGATTGTGAGATCCCCACCTTGATTGGAGAGGAACAAAACATTTCTTGTAAGAGTGTAAAAATTTCTTTCTAATAGACGCGTTTTAAAATCTTAAAAGGAAGTCTAGAAGGGAAAGCCTAGACAATATCTACTAACTATGAACGGGCGCTATTAAAAGAACTCTCAAAGGACATAATTGTACAATCTATTGACCAAATCATGTCCAAGCAAGTGAAGTCATTGATGCCTAATAATTATCTAATCAAACAATGCTAAAAAAGGACACCATGGCCAGATACTACTACAAAATGTAATGCTGCCTTTCCTTTGTTACTACTAATATGAAACAAAAGTCAAGACTATAGTAAAATCTCAAAAGCAGCTCAAGGAAGAGGCCTAGAATTGTAATTTAATCAGAACTTGCAAATCATTATAGGGAGAAAAGTAAAGTAAAGTAAAGAAAAGAGAATATGAAGTATAGGGCGCCTGACCTGATGCATAAGATAAGTGACGCTAAAATTATGGGAGCATGCATTGTTGCTGTCAGTAATTCAGTGTCGAGAGCATGTGATGTCTCTGCTGTTGCTTTGAGGAGATGGGAGTGACCTCGGGAAACGAAACTCTCGGCTTCTTCTTCCATCTCTAAAATATTAGGAGTATATTTATTAACAAACAGAAGAATAGTCATAAAAAGAAGCCCAGATGTCATTGTTTAGCACTCAAAAGCTTTCTATTTCACATTCTATTACGGGAATTGTCCTTCTCAGTGTCATCTTTCACCTGAAACCCGTGTCTGTACATTAGAATAGTTGAGTTACGGCTTGAAGATGCATTACAGAGTAATGTCTTTTACAAGCCAACATTGTGAGAGCCCCTTTGAACTCGGGAAAGCAAGCACAAGAAGCTCATTTAATCCTATTTCTGCCAACATCCGCTAAACTTTCGAACTGGGTTCAAGTCGTTTCCATGGGTTCTTGGCCGGCGTCCACAATTTCTTCCTGCTCTGCCATGGTTTCGGCCTCTTTACCTTCCATCGGGACTGCTTCGGATGTTGGTTCTGTTTGAGGTGTAGGGAACACCTGTTCCACCATCTCTGTAAGCTCTTGAATTCCATCATCTCCCATGCGAACATCACTGTCCTCTATAATCTAGAAACAAAAGGAACAGACCCCCATTAATCTACATAATTTAACCATTCATCCAAATTAAAGTTTTCATTTTCCACAAAGCATCCCAAGTTTCCAACAGAGAAAGAGGTCCAGGGTAAAAGCACCCATAAGAATTTGTTTGGGAGCTATTTTGAAAAACAATTTTACCTCCCAAGAATGGCCCAGTATTAGTTGACATGAGTTGTGGAATATTTGGAGGTATCTTATAAGTTCAAGGCTCAAGTAGAAAACTTAACACTAAAAAAAACAAAGATGTTTAGTAGGATGAATCATAACTCAATAGTATGATGAATCTTACACTATTTGTTTACACGGTAAGATTTGTTTACACGGTAAGATTTCACATCAGTTGAGGAGGAGAACGAAACATTTCTTTATTGGGCGTAGAAATTTCTCCCTAGAAGACGCATTTAAAAACCTTAAGTGAAAGTGCAGAAAAGAAAGTCCGAAGAGAAAATATCTGCTAGCGGTGGACTTGAACGGTTACCGAAGGTACCAATAACTACACGAGGGTCCATTGATTTGGAAGGAAAAACAACTCCACTGTACCATTTGTGAAGGAACAAGTAGAAACTTAGTCCAGAAATCCTAGAAATCCTTCCCAAGTCAGTCTTTACAGAACTACAGATTCACCTATGAAGATGACAATAGTTGAATTTTAACTACAATTGCTGACACCTACTCCACCAAGTTCTTAAGAATCAGACAACTGTGTTCCATAGCCAGGGAATCTAAAGCTTTTGTAATGTCTACAGAAAAGTGAAAAACTACAAGGACCACGTAATTCTCTTCCAACACAAAAAAAAAAAAAAAAAAAA